AAGGCTTTACGGTTTTAGGGTTCAGGGGGTTTAGGGTTTGGGATTTGGGGTTTGGGTTCAGGGGTTTAGGGTTAAGGCTTTGCGGTTTTAGGGCTCAGGGGGTTTAGGGTTTGGGATTTGGGGTTTGGGTTCAGGGGTTTAGGGTTATATAAGGCTTTACGGTTTTAGGGTTCAGGGGGTTTAGGGTTTGGGATTTGGGGTTTGGGTTCAGGGGTTTAGGGTTAAGGCTTTACGGTTTTAGGGTTCAGGGGGTTTAGGGTTTGGGATTTGGGGTTTGGGTTCAGGGGTTTAGGGTTAAGGCTTTACGGTTTTAGGGTTCAGGGGGTTTAGGGTTTGGGATTTGGGGTTTGGGGTTCAGGGGTTCAGGGGGTTTAGGGTTAAGGCTTAAGGCAGGTTTAGGGTTAAGGCGGTTTTAGGGCTCAGGGGGTTTAGGGTTTGGGATTTGGGGTTTGGGTTCAGGGGTTTAGGGTTAAGGCTTTACGGTTTTAGGGTTCAGGGGGTTTAGGGTTTGGGATTTGGGGTTTGGGTTCAGGGGTTTAGGGTTAAGGCTTTACGGTTTTAGGGTTCAGGGGGTTTAGGGTTTGGGCTTTGGGGTTTGGGTTCAGGGGTTTAGGGTTAAGGCTTTGCGGTTTTAGGGCTCAGGGGGTTTAGGGTTTGGGATTTGGGGTTTGGGTTCAGGGGTTTAGGGTTATATAAGGCTTTACGGTTTTAGGGTTCAGGGGGTTTAGGGTTTGGGATTTGGGGTTTGGGTTCAGGGGTTTAGGGTTAAGGCTTTACGGTTTTAGGGTTCAGGGGGTTTAGGGTTTGGGATTTGGGGTTTGGGTTCAGGGGTTTAGGGTTAAGGCTTTACGGTTTTAGGGTTCAGGGGGTTTAGGGTTTGGGATTTGGGGTTTGGGTTCAGGGGTTTAGGGTTAAGACTTGACGGTTTTAGGGTTTAGGATTTGGGGTTCGGGTTCAGGGGTTTAGGGTTAAGGCTTTACGGTTTTAGGGTTCAGGGGGTTTAGGGTTTGGGATTTGGGGTTTGGGTCCAGGGGTTTAGGGTTAAGGCTTTACGGTTTTAGGGTTCAGGGGGTTTAGGGTTTGGGATTTGGGGTTTGGGTTCAGGGGTTTAGGGTTAAGGCTTTACGGTTTTAGGGTTCATGGGGTTTAGGGTTTGGGATTTGGGGTTTGGGTTCAGGGGTTTAGGGTTAAGGCTTTACGGTTTACGGTTCAGGGGATTTAGGGTTTAGGATTTGGGGTTTGGGTTCAGGGGTTTAGGGTTAAGGCTTTACGGTTTTAGGGTTCAGGGGGTTTAGGGTTTGGGATTTGGGGTTTGGGTTCAGAGGTTTAGGGTTAATGCTTTACGGTTTTAGGGTTCAGTGGGTTTAGGGTTTGGGATTTGGGGTTTGGGTTCAGGGGTTTAGGGTTAAGGCTTTACGGTTTTAGGGTTCAGGGGGTTTAGGGTTTGGGATTTGGGGTTTGGGTTCAGGGGTTTAGGGTTTAGGATTTGGGGTTTGGGGTTTAGGGCTTCGGGGCTTGGGGTTTAGGGTTTGGGGTTTAGGGGTTTGGGGCTTGGGGTTTAGGGTTTAGGGGTTTAGGGCTTGGGGTTTTGTCGGGCTTCTGTCTGAGAGATTCTGAGAGGTTAGGAGCAAAGGGCTGTCGTAGGGTCTCAAACCCTTTACACCCATCAGTGTCAACTCCGGAACCCAGACCCCCGGGAGGATCTAGAAAGTAGATCCCCTAATTTGGGGCCCTATACTACTAAGCGTACTTTATAGGAACCCCCATCACGGGATCTACTTTGTGGATCCTTCCGGGGGTCGTTGAACACGCCTTAGCCCTCTCACCTGAGGACCGGCAGACCCCTACAGCAAACCCCTTAAAGTTGGAAACCTGATTAAAGCCAGATAGTGCTGGGATTCCTTTTACATGACTCTCAGGGATTGAGGCTACTGGGTTTCCAACTTGTTGGGCTTCTACTCTAAACCCTTGCAACCATGGGTCTTGGGTTGTTTAAACAGCATAGTATGTTATAAGGGATACTACTAGAAATTATTATGATCCCTAATTGGGACCCTACAAACCTTCCCCTACATCCCCAACAGACTACCCTGGTCCTTTCCAGCTTTGCATGGGAAGGACGCAGGAGACGTGGGACAGGCAGGATTATCCGAAAATCGAGTGAATGCTTGTATAAGGATCTCCATGTAAAGAGTCTTTGTCTGCTTTAAATGAAAAGTACTGCCTGACCCTAAACCGTAAACCCCTAAACTCTACACCCTAATCGAAGGCTGCTAGAGTCGTCGCTCGGGGACCTTGAGCTGTCGACAGTCCGTCTTAAGTAGCTGTGCAGTCTCTGCAGAACACGTCAACGGAAATACTACAAGATACTGCAGCATCCATGTACAGGAAGTCCAAGACTTCACAGAGTCTAGGCTGCTGGAAAATGCTTCAGTATAGTATGTTTCCATTAGCAGTAAGTAAGTGCTGCATGATCTGATTCACTGTTCTAGTTTTCCAAATGTCTCCTCCGCTTGGATCGTCGGTGTTGGGGGTGCCGCTGTCACTTAAGCTGTGATGGCGATCCTAAGCTACGTAAGTACATAGACACGCCCCCCCTTCACCCCCCAAAAAAAACAGAATAAGATCCCAAGCTTCTTGGACAACCAGGAAATCCACAAAAAGGCGCATTCTGGATGCACGAATATCACGACAGTCAGCAGTGATGCTTCTGGGTTGGGCTGAGGCTTGGCGGGAGTGAAGGCTTTTGGCTCGGTAATGCTCCTTTGAGCTTGGTGTAGGCTTCTTGGGTTTATGTAGGGTTTGTGGTATTAAGAGGTCGTTGAAAGCTGCACCCTACACAATCCTGAAAGTCAAGCCCAAGCCTCCCTGCTGGGCTTTGGGTGCTAACAGTTCCCACTTTATAAGCAATCGGGCTTCTTGAGTAATCCGGGTTTGCAGGAACTTTATAACGCTTATGCGTAAGGCTCCAACCTCTGAACATCCAACTGTCTCATGCAAACTACCTAAACAGGAGAAACCCCTAGCACAAAACTATAAACTTTCATATAAACGCGAAGCCCTAAACCCACAGCCCTAAACCCTACACCGACAAAGGGCGTGGTGCACCGCAGTGATGACAGGCATGCGATCCGCATGACTCAACCATCGGATGCTGCGCTGCATGCCACATGTCCTCTAAGGGTTCCTTTTGGGTTACCGCAAGGATTCCTGATTGGTTTCCGTTAAGGCTTCCTCTATGGGTCGTTTGCGTCTTTCAAAACGTGTCTTTTAGTAGCTACGGTTCGGGGTTCGCGGTTTAGTGCTGCGGCTTTCTTATAAACCCTGAACCCTGCACCCAAAACCCCTAAAACAAAAACAAACAAAACAAGGCCCTAAGGCTTCGGTTCAGGGTTTGAGGGTTTACAGGGTTTCGAGCGGGGTGTCCGAATCATAGGGCGGTTCAAGGGTTTAGGGTTTAGGGTTCGTCGCAAGCAAGAAACTTCAGCCTTGCTCCAGGTTCCCCTCCCTATTTACAATAGTAGGTGCTATGGAGACTGTAGGCTTTACCTGGGCCCTTCAAAACCTACCGCCGATGTCAGGACTTATATGAGGAAAACATAAGAAGGAACCCCAAAAAGGGTATGTGATTTGGGGGTAGGGTAGGGTTATGTGTACTATTTAGGGTTCAGGCAGGGTTTCCCGCACTATTGGGGTTTCATGCTCTTTGCAATTATTTGAAACTTCAAGTCTGAAGGTGACCCAGACTTCCAGTGCTCGAAGCTTCACGGCCCGCACAATCCCGGTCCAGTTGTGCCGACATATCTTGCTATAGCCATATGGGTGGTTGTCAAAATTCGGGTCCCTTTTCGGGTCCCTATTATAATGCGGCACCTAATATTTAGGGTACCCAAAAAAGGACCCTAATTTTGACAACCACCCATATAGGGACTCTAACAGGATACCATGAAAGAATACCGACTTCGAAACTTAACCCCGTATTAGATCGAGCCGGAAGTCCAGAGCCCAAGTCCAACGCTTGAAGCGCAACAACAACCCCAAATTGCCTACCGTTGTGAGGGATCCTTATTCTGACTTCCCTCCAGAAGGTTTCGGGGATTTGGGTTTAGGGTTTTCGTTTGTTTTTTTCATTTTTTCGAGCCCCTTTTTCCACCAGCATACAGTGGTTTAGGGTTTAGGTTTGTAAACCCGAAGCCATTAACTCTGAACACTACAAGCACAGTTCGATGCTTTGCTAGAGCGCCCAAGGACAGGCGAGCACTTAGCACATGGGTTATGGAAAGGGCTCTAAGCACCCCTGTTGAGTTTACACTACTTGTGACCCTACTAAGCTACTTACTACATCCCGGACTCCTTCTGGCAATCACAACTGTAATAGAACCCGTGTCAAAACCCTTATTGTAACCCTCTTTAGAAAGTCGGAAGGTCTCCTCTTGCATCTGCATCTGCCCCATCGTCTTTGCTGCGACATTGATGTGTCCTTGCTTTACATTTCGGAGTCAGATTTAAGTTAACGGTATGGGGGTTCGGATTTGGGCTGAAGGGTTTAGAGTTTGGCCCAGAATCCGAAACTATAAATGCCGAGCAATACTTGTCTTCGTGGAAGGTATATGAAATAGTAGAGAACTGCATTGACTCTGTTCAGTGTGTAGTTGTATTTTTAACACAATACAACTAGAAGTGCTGTACATACGTTAGTGGATATGCTACAACGCCGGCGCGTATGGCGGACGATGAACGTCGGCTCGTATGGCGGACGCAATAGCGACGAGCTGGGTGTAAGAGCAACGTCACAAAACTGGCCGAGCGGACTACTCAGGCGGTATCAGCACTTATGGCGGATACTTGGCACGAAAGCGGTAACCAAGCCCTAAAAGGGGACTATAGAACCGGAACCTAAACCAGGGCGGCGGAGGGTAAGGAAGGCGGGGAAGGGCACACCAGGCAGGTCAGGCAGTAAAGGGAAGGCGCTGCGACAGGCAGGCTGGGCACTCGGCTTTTCAGGGTGCGGCAAAGGGGGAGGCCTCCTCCCCACCCTGAGGCAGGCGGCGGACGACCGCACGTGCGTTTTCCCTTTGGAGAGTGATGGCGAGGCTTTGCAGGAGGCGATCTGTCTCTGCAGCAGGGGTGTCCCCAGAGCGAGCTGCGATGAGACCACCGAGCGTTCGCCACGTGGAGACGGCAGTCGGGCCCCACCCCCCACTGCAAGCCTCAGCGACGAGAGGCAGGAACTGAAGTCCCTCGGAGCGGCAGAGTTGGTCCGTGTGCAGGTGGTTCCGCTTCCGGGCTTCGTAGGTCTCGACGGCTGCTTGGCTGGACCGGGCAGACTCAGCTAGCATCGGGCCGGCCCTGATGCCTGACGTGACAGCGAGGTCAAAGGCAGCAGGCCCTTGCAGGCCCCACTGAGCGACCCAGACATCTGCAGGTCTGCGGAGACCAGTGCCGCGGCCTCCGTCAGCCCCGTCGTCGTCAGGGCGTAAGGGGAGGAGGTCCGCTTTTTCAACTTCGACTCCGAGTCCAGTGGCTTGGCTGCGTGTAGCGACGACGGACGTTGTGGCGTTTAATTCGGTCCCCGCCACACGGGCAGCACAGCGAGTGAGCGCCGAACCGGTCCGTTACACCATCGCAGAGTGGGCAGGCCTCGAGTCGGTCGGCGCGACGGGCAGGCGGAGCTGGACCATTGTGCGGAACAAGCGCGGCTCGACGTGGAGGCCAAGAGCCTTGCTGGGCGGGGCGTGTAGCCAGGCACCGGCACCAGGCAGTTCGAGGAGGCGGAAGTGAGCTCTGCTAGCTTCACGTCCGGGGCTTGGGGTCAGGAGCCGTGAGGCCACCGCGCGGTCGAGAGCCTGGTCGGGTTTGTGGCGGCACAGGAACGCGTAGGTGGTCGGGCGGGGCGACCTCAAGATTGTGGGTGGCAATGGCAGCGAGAAGGCCGGGGTTGTGGGCAAGGTCGTAGGCAGGGTAGAGGCCAATGCAGACCGCAACAGTTTGGGCGAGGAAGGCAACGTAGGCAGGTTGGCAAGTCGGAGGCCAAGGCCACCAATGGACGTAGCGAGGGACGCCTGCTCCCAGGCCTCCGTGGTGAGTGGCCCCGTGCACATGTGTTCAAGGCAAGCGCGTACCTCAGTGTCAAAGGCAGCCAGGGAGGTGCGGAGTGCTCCGGGTGGGGTGACACGTGAGGAGTAAGAAACGCGGCAGAACGAGGCACAGTGCCGGAGAAGCAGGAGGCCGGTCTGGACGTCGGGCAAGGCCGCAAGCTCGCGGAGCAGCGGGCGGGCCTTCTCGACTCGCTCAGTCATGCAGTAGTGGGCGGGGCCGATGGGGGCCCCAAGGAAGGAGAAGGCACCACTAGAGCCGGTCTGCACGCCCGCAGGGAAAGCACGCATGTCGGCAGAGCTGTCGGGGCCAGCACATGTCACAACCTCGCACTTGCCAGGGTTGAGCTCGAGCCCAACCTGGCGGGCTGCAGCAGCGAGGCGGTTCAGTGCAGCTGCCACATGGCGGTAGTCACCGGCCAAGCACACGTCATCAAGGAACGCTGTCACAAGCTCTGGCGGGGTCGGGCCCGAGCGGGCGGCCTTAAGCGCAGGCTGGAGGGCGAGGGAAAAGAGAAGAGGGCCGAGCGGGTCGCCCTGCTGGACGCCAGCTTCGGAGGACAGGCAGGCGTCGCCAAACAGGAGGCGGCTGTGTCGTTCATATGTCCACTCAGCCCAAGGAGAGAGGCCAGGCATGTGTAGCCGGACCTGGCGCAGGAGAGCGGCCCGGTCAACGGTGTTGAAAGCGTTGCGGAAATCGACTTTCAACACAACTTTGCACGTGTGGCCGGAGTTGCAATGAGCCCAATGCCGGACGGTGTGGACAGCGGCCTCGCAGCCCAGGGGCACGGCGACCCCGACTTGGAGAGGTGTCAAAGTGGAGCGGGCCTCATCCTTGTAGGACTGGCAGAGGCACTTGCCGACGAGGCGCCGCAGTGTTTCGCCAACAGCTATGGGCCTGATGTCGTCAGCTCCCTTCGGGACGGCGAAGAGGCTAGCTCCAGCGAGGTGGGGTGCGAGCTCAGGCGGCCCGTTTCCGGATGCAAGCAGTCTGACTACATCGGCAAGGTGGGATGCGACCTCGTCTGCGTGAGGGGTGCACAGCGCCTCGCGAAGGTGGTCGCCGCGTAGGCCGGTGGGGCCCGGGGCGCTGCCACGGCGAAAGCTGCGAACAGCCGAAAGCACAAGCTGCACGGACAAGTCGGGGACCTCGGCTTGGGCAGGGGGGCCGAGCGGCACAAGAGCGGGGCGGGCCGGCTGGCACTGTGCTTGAATGTTTCGGGTGTTGCTAACATGTTATAAGTGGTTGGTACAATTGCGAGGGTTAGCTAAGCAACTTAGGGGCTTTATTGAGGGGGTTTAGCGAAGTTAGGCTAAGGGGTTAGCAACCTGGAAACTAAGTATATCAATGGTGAAATTTATGGTTATGTAATAACAGAACATGAAGATTTGAGAAGTGAAATCTCAAAACTGTTTTCGGTAATTTGCGAGTTAAAAGCAAAGAAAACAAAAGTCTACAGCACAAAAATCAAAGAATTAACAAAGCGAGAATACAGATCTCAGAGGGTTGAAAATTAGAATCAACCCAACTAGCTGTTCGAGAAGCAAACAAGCATGCAGCTCAACTGGCTCCAGCAAAAGCATGCCTGCCTGCAAAAGTACCGTCCAAATCCCATTCGTCGTCTGCGAGATGCATGACATGGAGTATTGTTTTGTTGCATGCATGCATGGCAGCATGTCACGGAGCATTGCATGCTGCATGCATGCCATGCACATGGAGCCTGCTCGAAGGCTTGCATGAGGCTTGCCATGAAGCATTGCATGCTGCATGCATGCCATGCACAATCGAGCATGGAGGCATTCTTGCTACAATCCTGCTGCATGCATGGCATGCATCATGGAGCACGATCGCATGCATGATGCATGTCCATGGAGCACTGCATGCTGCATGCACTGCATGCTGCATGCATGACATGGAGCATGCATGGCATGCATGGAGCATTGCATGCTGCACATGGAACATGAAGGCTTGCATGATGCTTGTCAATGGAGCCTTGCATGCTGCATGCATGCCATGTGTACGAAGCATGAAGGCATGCATGATGCATGTCGTGCATGCATGCTATGCACAACATCGGACATGAATGCATACGTACTACAATCATGCTGCATGCATGCAAGAATAAACACAGATCGTGGAGCATCAGTTGCATGCATATATAAGCATGGCTGCTGCGATTTTCTTGCCGGCAACATCTTCAAGCCATGCTGTTGCACAGGTGGCGGGGTAGCAGGGTGGTGAGAATGCCTGCATTGTTATTGTAAACTACACTGCACAGGAAAGCATCAACCTGCATGATGGATAGGGCTTCACCTGCAATCCTCCACTTGGCCACTTGCTTCACTGCATCATGGGAAACATACTCGCATCTGGACACAACACCTGCAACATAGCCGTCCACTTCGATAAGCCATTGGAGTCGGCCACAGCAAAAGGGGATGGGTGATTCATTGTCGGCAGCTGCATGGTGCAAAACAACATCACCGGTATGCAAGACAGCACCAGAAGCTAGCCGGCACTCTTTGCTGCAGTTGCAGGAATCACTCTCAGATACGATGTTGCTCTGCAGAAGTTGTGCCATTACTTTGGCGGATACGGGGTGAGGCTGCAGGAGATGAGGGCCAGCTCGAAATGGAGTGTCGCTCGAAAGCAAGGCAAGCTGTTCAGCATTTGTCTCCTCCAATAACCCTTGTTCAAAGTTGGTGGTGTTGCTGGTAGCTGTGCCGTATTTTCGCACTGATTTGTGTTTTCGCTCCAGTGTCCAGCATGCTGGCATGCATCGAAATCGTGACAGACATGCCTCAAAATGTAAACACCAATGAAACTTCGGAGCCATCTGGTCTCCCCACCCGGCGGCGACGGTGAGGGACAATGCTCGCTCGACAGTCTGCAACAAAAGGCCTGCTGGAGGCAGTTGTAGTGTACAAGCTATCAAGATGGCCAAGACTTCCAACCAAGACAAGCAAGCTTCCTTTGCAAGAGTGTCATCCGGGCTGGGGCAGCAGGTATGCAAAAAATATTCTAAAGGCTTTGAAATTGCTAAAACCTCAGAGGCTGAGCATTTGATGTAATTTGCCTTCCTGTGTGCCTTCATCTTCTCCTGGCTGAACAGCTTGTGCAGTGCCGCTGCTTTCTGGGCTTTCGGCCATTGCCAGAGTTGCAAGTAGTCATGAAAGGTAGCAGCTTTTCCAGTGGCTTCCAGCACCCACAGGATTATGCAGTTGAGGACTCCCATGCTGCATAAAGAATGCATCCAATCAAAGCAATATTGCGAAGCCGGCCGCAATACATTCAGACTTCGTAGAACAGTGCTCATCATCAGGGCATGCGGCGAGAAAGACCACCCACAAGCCTGTTGCCACTGTTGGAACTTGCTTTTGGACTCTGTCCGGTGTCTTGATTCCATTCGTTCCCACGATTCCAAGAGCTCATCGTCTGTAGCTTGATGGCATGCATCCCATGTCAAATGTTTTGCCGATATCTTGACATCATCCTCAGAGCTTTTTGACCGTAGGGAAAAGATGTTCTTACAAAGCATGCAAACTCTCGAACCGGCATCTTGCCGGTTCGAGTATGTGTGTTTCTGTGCACTTCCGTCCTGAAGTGTCATAGCAAGTGTAAAGAATAGTCTGATGCTTTTGCTCGGCCCCTTCAATGCCAAGCCATGCTCTGGATTTCCGAACTCGTTGGCAAACATGGACTCAAGCAGCAACCTCAAACATTGGCCTATACCAGCCGACACCTTCTGCACCAGTTCGGTTCTGACCACCATCAGTGTAAACCAATGATGCTCGTTCGAAAGCAACTTCGGTGACAGCTCCAGAAACGAGAAATACACCGCCCAGACTTTTCGCCCTTGGGAGGACAACTGATTGCCCGGGTGTACTTCATCGGAATAAAGGACCCCCCGCCAGGGGGATCCTATGCTGGATGGTGATGCTTCGTGCACATGATTCAACATTTGGTAAAAATAACCACCTGCTGCATACATGCCCTGAATAAGACTCGCCAGGTTGATGCATGGTATGTTAAGGTCTGCACCGGCCAGTGACTTCGCCGGAAGTTGTTGCACAAGGGCCCCATAGGCAGTGCAACTTGCAATGGCCTGTTTCACTGCTTGCTTCATGTCATGCCTCGAATGCTTTTCTGGAATTCCTTCCTTTTTGACCAAACTCAAGATGCAACTCAAAGCTGAGCAAGTAACAAAAGGCAACTGCCTTCTGAACCTATCCAATCTCTGTAGTTTGGCCGAGCGAGAGCTTTCTGCTTCGTGCCCCCGCTGTTGCTTCTTTCTAGGTGCCGAAGATGTCGATGCAGCTTCCATCTTGCTTCGAAACAATGCACAAAGAATGCTTCATGCACTCTTTGTGTATACAGTTCTGTCTATGATGAAGGTATAATATATGTCTCTATATATGTGCATGCATGTGTAAGCTTGTGTGTGTGTATGCATTTACAAATATACGTGTATGTATATATGTATGCATGCATGGCAGTATATATGGATATGTATGTACATAAATGTATCTATATGTATATAGACCTGCAGATTGTATGTATGTATGTCTGATGTATGTATGTGCATGCATGTATGCATGTATGCATGTATGTTCAAGTATATATGCTGCAACGAAGGAACCTGTATGTATATACCTATATGGGTAAGTATGCTTGCATATACATATGCATATAGACACACGAACACACGAAAGCGCTTTCATATATGCAGTACAGAGGGTTGCATACCTTTCACATGCAAGTTACTCTTACAAAAACTTCGGGGCAAATGTACCTTACAAACACTCATAGTCTGAAAAGAACCTACGTAACATTGTATAAACCGCAAACACTGAACCGTAATACTAAAAAAACCTTACAGATAGACTTTATAGTCTTCCTTGTGCCCGATTGCACATGCATGCACGGCCTGAACTGATATAGCCATGCACGGACATGCTCATGTAGCATCTGAAGGCAACATGCAGACATGGCAACACAAGCTGCAAGCATTCATGTTTGCCTCGCATTGCAAAAGTCCCCGGCACGATCATGTCATTCCTGACTTCGCAGCATGCATGTATGTGCACACCCTTGCCCCATGAGTGGATCAACTGTACGATCACTCCAAGCTGCATGCAGTTTCTGCAAGCAAGCTAAAACAACAATCTAGCAAAGCTTTCGCTTTTGCTGGTGCATATAAGCCTTCCAAGCTTCTCTACCAACCAACCTCATCCCCGCAAAGTTCGGGTTCTCGCAAACATCACAGCCGCTACCTCGGCATCGCTTGCAACCGTAGCCCTCTGCAGCTTTCTTAGCAGCAGGCTTTTTCATCACTTTCTTCGCCTTCGTCTGATGCTTGTCCTTGTCGCCGGTGGTCTGCTTCTTCATGGGATTGTTCTTTTTGCCGGTGCCCTGCTTCTTCATGGGATTCTTGTTCTTTTTGCCGGTGCCCTGCTTCTTCATGGGATTCTTGTCCTTTTGGCCGGTGCCCTGCTTGTTGGAATTCCTCCCATTTTTGGTCTTCTCTTCAACCTCGATCATTGCCTGCTTCTCGTACTCCTCCAACGACAAGTTACCCGAGCCCGCTGCATGCCCCTTCTGCTGCAAAGCAGGCGGGTCCTGCACTCCCGGTGACGGGTGCTGCTGCTGCTGCTGCTGCTGCTCTGCAGCTGCAGACGGCTGGTTCGTTAGTGGCAAAGCTAGCTGCTTGCTTACATCCTCCTTAGACAAGCCCTGCATGCCGTCGCCTGGCCCATGGTTGCCATCCTTCACATGGTCAAAGAAAGTGATCTTGGCACCACTGCTCGAGCTTTCTTTGCCACCCTGCAGGGCGGCCTGCCAGTTGCCACCCAACAAGCTTTTGAACAACTCGAGGAGTCGGTCCTCAACCTTGTCCACCAAGGGTTGAAGCTTCTTTTTCGAGCAACTGGAAAGGAGCTTGCTGGTGGATCGCATCGGGCACTGGGCTCCTAGCTCGAAAAGCTGTGGGAGATCTACCATCGAAGGTGGGTCTTTGGGATAGGCTCTGGACAGCCAATCTTTGTCCAGGTCTGTAGGGAGGTGTGGGTACTTCTTCAAGCCCGAAACCATGCAGCCCGAGGGCTTGTGGGCAGCGAACAAGAGGCCGAACTGTTGTGCCAGACCATATATTTCGTCGGCACTGGGTTTGCTTTTCCCGTGCCACATGATGGACTGTACGATTAATGCGACGGCGGCCCGCTTCGTTGTTTCTTTGAGAGACTTCACACCGAGGGCAGACAACCTTCTGATGATGATATGGGGAACGTCATACAAGTTTCCTTGCATTACATCCATCATCTCAGCCTTGGTCAAATAGGCGGGGAGATTGACCAAGGTCTGTGGTGTCTTCACAATGGCAGACCCACCTTCGTTTGTCGTACCTG